ACAGGAAATAACTCCATATTTGGAAATCAAGGACCATGTGATGAAACCAAGGCACGAAAAAACGAACAGCGAAAATTAGGCCGTCTTAGCGGATGGAGTTCGCGATAAAATGCGATGATCAGCTATAATTTCGCGTATGCGAAACAACTTTGCTACGGTATTTACACCTAATGTATTGTATGGCTGGAAGACGACAGCCAGCTATCAATTTAGATATGCGAAGGGAATAAGAGATGATTTCGAAGCCCGTACAGCTTTAACAAAGTTTAACCCCCAAAAAAGAAGTAAACTTTGGCAGGAGAGAAAAGATGTATTGAAATCAGAAGAAAGATACACGTTACCCTGATAACTGCGAAACGACACTCGATTCGTCACTCAAGCCCCTAGACCAGAAATGGAAAAAAGAAAGAGAGAAAAGACATCAAAAGATACGAAAAGAGAATGAAAGAGAAAAGTGATCTAAAAGAAATCTTAAACAAAAAAAAAAAAGAGAGAAAAGAAGTAAAATACATAAAAGACATTAAGCTAAAAGAAGTTAAAAAAAGTAAACGAATTTTGGTAACAATCAGATAAGTCATTGTTTCTCTTACATGTTTATACTTTTCTCAGTGTATTTTGTCATGTTGTATATTTGCAATCAGGCCTGACCTAAGATTTGCTATTGATCGTCTAATTACATTTCTGAGAGGATAAATACCCCCTCCCACAACATTTCTTTTTGACTTATTGTTTTTGTTTTCGCCATATCCTTCATATTGTTTTTTCCATTGTATGTTATAGTAATAAATTTATTTAATTGTTAATTCTGCAACTGTGTTTCTGTTGTTTGTCACACACTGTGTGTGTTCTTTAAGCAATTCCAGCCGGCTCGACCGTATCTGATCAATTGGAAAGAGGACCTTGGGGAAAGAAATTCGTTGTAATAATTGTATACACGTTGCAATAATCATACAGGTTATGATCCTCCTCTATCTCCGCTATCGATCCGATTAGAGAAAGTGGCAGGGTCATAACATATATATATATATATATATATATATATATTATTTTTTTTTAAATGTGATTCCTTCGCTACATAAGAGAGTTCTCATGTTTCAAAAACAAGAGCCAAAAACCTCAAAATAATTATTAAAATTAAATTGAATTAAAGTTTCAAGTCCTGTTTCAGCCTCAAGCGAAAATTTTTGGACCATGTTTCTAAAACCTTCGCGTGAGGTTGAAACATGAAACATGAGAACTCTTATATAGCGAAGGAATCATATATTTTTTAAATAATTATAATTTAAGCTCTACTTCTGTATGGAGCACTGTTTTTTTTTTTTTAAATAAAACAAAAATACTAAAGAACTCTGGATTATTTACCTAACGTGTTCTTTCCTATTTTTCTATATATTTGCACACACACACACACACACACACACACACACACACACACACACACACACACACACACACATATATATGTCTGTGTGTGTGTGTGTATTGATGTAATAAGAAAGAACAGTTAAATTGATGATCCAAAGTTCTTTAGTACTTTTATTTTTAAAAAATAGTGCTCGATAAAGAAGTAACACGCCACTAATGATGTCAGAATGTGTAATTAATAATCCCTAAATACTTTTGATACCTCGGAGCAGGGATCATTTATACCAAATTCAGTAAAGGTGAATGTCCAACACCCCAAGATATTACAGAACCAAAACATTCGCCAAAGAACTGCAGTCATTCTTTAAATAGCCTCAACAGATCTCGACTCTTAACTGGATGTCATACATAGTGTCCAACACATTCGGAAATTTCCAAACTATCAGCGATATACAACCATTTTCTCAGATCGATGATTAAAAATGGTTTCAAATGAATGAATCGTAAAAGTAGACAGACCATCCTCAGATTTTATCGATGCGCACTACAGAATCACAAAAATATCCCACATCACCTGAAGACTTCCAACAGCAATTGCTAAGTCTGCTGCTAGGAAAGTTGGTTCACTGTTTCGTGTTAGACAATCTTTTCTCGCCATAATCTATTTTGCACATTTGTAAGTCTACTATTCTTTATGAATTGAATATTGCTGTTATCTGATAAAATCCAAAGAAGAATCTTTAATGTTATCGGTCTTGTCCTGGCATCTTGGCTTCAGTCATTTCCCACCGTCGTAACGTAACTTCCATGTGCCATTTCTATAAATGATTTCATGCTAATTGTTCTGGTGAACTTCCCTCTTTCGTGCATAGGCTTTTTGAATTTAAGCGCAATACTTGGTTGGTGGCAATGTCTCATCATCTTCCTACTGAAATGACTAGATGTAACCGTAAGTTCTATGTTTCTTCTCTCACACCTCTTGCTTGTGGAACTCTCATTCGGCATCTTGCTTCTCAGTCAACTTTGATCTTCGAAAGTTTAAAAGCAACGCTAATCCTTACCTTCTGTCTTCTTAATTTCTGTTCTTTTATTGTTCTCTCTCCTTAATAAGGTCATCTTTTTCTAGTATTATCTCACAGTCAGTAACCCTCTTGCGTCTTGGTGGCTTTGTTGCCTTGCTTGGGGTGGAATGATAAAAAAACAGCAACAGCAAAAAATGGATAGCACACGTAGCTAGAAGGGAGAATAATTATATAATCAAGATGTTGCCTTTCCACACTACTTCAAATAATAGGTTAGAAAGGAAAACCCTCATTAATACTAGAAAGAGCAATAACAGTTAGTTGACCTGAGAAACCCATTTTCCTGCAAAAATGTTTTAAAGATTTTATAAATTTCAGTCGATAGTAATGTTAACTCTTCGGTCAATGAATGTCGAATGTTTCCTTGTAAGGAAACGGTTATTCTCAACATTACCAGTATCATTATAAAACAGAATATATATGAAATGTCTGTTGAGGATTTCCTGAGTTTTTCGTGGTATCAAAGAAGTCGTTTGATAAAATTTGAGAATTAGGAAAGGAACTTCCAAAATTCTGTGTAAGGGTCATTTAAAAATAAAATAAAATAGCATGTAAGTCGAGACGTAGTCGATAGTACGTTTACCCTGCTAATAGACTGGAGTTTAAAATGAACGTCGATTCACATGTTTTGGGGGTTAAACTAGATGATTTGCAAAAAGTCTATTTGGGAATCAGAGAAAATCCTTTAATCTATTTTCCCTCAATTTGCAAACTTGATATGGTCACGCCCTTTTGGTTTTTGAAGGCAAATGCTCTACACATAAAGTCTTAATAGTTCTGTTTAAAATGATATCAATGTTTTAATCATTTCACCCGAAGAAAAACGATAATACCACTAAGACATGATGAATTCTGACGAGAAAAATTGTCTGCCATGACACAGTGAATCAACGTTCTTCGTAGCAGACCTAGTAGTTTATTCAATATAATCGCCCCACTTCATGCCAATAAAAAATGTGAGAGCAAGAAGGAGCAATGAGTTGCTCTCCTGGAGGTTAGCATCAGCCATACTGATGGATAACGGAAATGGTTCTCTATAAAAGATAGCAATTTCGTTTTCGTACAAGCCATTTCTTGCCCCAGGTAACAACAGAAGAATATTTATTAATCAAAATACGAACCATTAGGTTCTAGATATTTTTGCCAACAAAATACAAGTGTAGCTTTTCCGCTAGCGTAGGAGTTGGAAGTTAAGGAGTTAGCAAAACCTTAGAAAGCATTTTAGACAGAAATTTGCTCGTTGAAAACTTTTCTATGTAAGTTGTCCAAATGTTTGAAGAAATAGTAATCAGTTGGCGAGAGATCGGGTGAGTCAGGTGGACGAAGCAGTGTTTCGTAGCCCAATTCATTCAATTTCTGTACCGTTCGTTGAGCAACATGTGGCCGCGCAGTGTTGTGCAAGAGGATTGATTAGTGTTGGACACAAACGCTGCAATTTCTGATGTATTTGATCAATTTCTTGGCAATGATTCTCAGTTGTGATTGTTTCAACAGTATTTAGAATGTTATGGGGAATCAATCCAGTTTTAAAATACCAATCACCAAAACCTTTTGGGGGGAATGTAGGTTTGGGAAGTGTTTAGGAGTTTTCTTTCGATTCGGCTATTGCCCTTAGCGTCATCGGTTGTCATATAAGATCTATTTCTCATCATGCGGCACAAGGCGATTGAAAAATGAGTCATTTTTGTTGCGCAAAAGAAGAGACTACCAGATATCATACCAACGATTCTTTTGGTTTTGTTTCAATTCGTGTGGCACCCATTTAAACAAATAGATCTACCAATTTTGTTCAAATGTTGAGAAATTGATCCAATAATTGTAAGCTCTCTGACAGCTCTCTAACAGTGATACTAGTAATGACCTCCACTAATGTTTTCAATTTCTCATTTTCAATGGAAAGCTGATGTCCAAGACCTTTCATATCTTCAAAATTGGCTTCACCGCGACGAAACTTGTGAAACCAACCTTGCATTGGGTATTCGTTAACAGATACTTCCCCGAAACTTTACTAACTTTTCGTGCAGTCTGAGCTGCACTTCGGCAAGATGATATTCATAAAAGTAAATTGGACAAAATTCTTTTTTTATATATCCTAGTTAAGAAATCTGAAAAACATATACGTATATATACGTAAGTGGGAAAATGGATCATTTAGATAAAAAGTATATAAGAGATTATAAAATGTTCGCCTATTTGTATAGTGTTGTGACTCGTCCACTTACTATAAAGTAGTAGGAAAGTAAGCCTCAGGGGAACAGTGATAGACTGTGAAAGATGAAGCTGGACGAGACTGTGCCGAAGGGCAGAGTTTCGTCCGGGGAGGTAGACAGACCCGAACCCGTTTATGCGGGTTCAACGGGGATTTTTTGGCCGAGGCTACGAGCTCGGATGACCCACGTTAATTAAACTCGGCCTTGTGCCACATATAACCCTTGTGGGGAGGGGGCTGTTAAATATAACAGTGATAGACTGTTCGTACGAGGCTGTGATTGTTCGCAGCTCCTGTCGAACTCTCTGCCTTTGGCAGAAAGGAACCCGGACGAGGCTATGCCG